TCATCTCCCAGAGCTCTAAACCCACTGGAGACTATCTTGTGGCTTCCTCGCAAGGAACAGCGGTCTGGAGCACTTGTGGGTGATCTTGTCCAGAGAGGAAAAATCAAAGATCCAGTCTACTAGCTGGCTCTTCATTCTGCCACAGTTGTCTTCAGTCCGCCTTTTCTTCCTCTGGAGGTCCTGCAACTTCCCCAAAGATTCTTAATACTTTTAATTATTTTCATAAAATGATATTGACTTCATCTGTGAAGATGTTGTGAGGGCCTCGAAAAAATCCAATTTACCACAAGAAACTATTTTCAAAATATGTGGAAATCTTCCTTTTAACGTTGTGTTATGCTTGAAGGCAGCACACAAAATGCATGGGATTTAGAATTTATTTATATTCTGATTGTGAACAGAGTAACCTTATTTCTTGACAATTTCAGTGGATTTTTTTTCTTTACATTGTTACAGATTGAGAAATTATTGGCAACTGCTGATATGGGGCCTGAAAAAGAAGAAGAAAATGAATTAATTCAGAATGATTTCAGGTAAATTAGAAAAGCAAGTACAACCCTGAGCCAGTGAAAAATATCCTTAATTTCCATTAAAATGCCTTTTATTAGAAAAAGGGCTGTAGAAATGTGCAGTTGTGCATTTGGAAAACTGATTATGTAACATGGGTTTTCTATCTTTATCTCCTCCTGTAGCTACTGAAATGACTCAAAAACTCTGGGAGGGTAAGGAACCACCTCCCCAAGTGAAACAAACTGTAGGGAATCAGCAAAAATCAGGCATATATGCAAACATTAGATTTCTTAGGCTTGTACATTTCACTTGTTTTCTCCATTTCTTGCAGTGAGGAAAGATCCACAGTGGCTGATACCCGTGTGGATGCCTCCATCCACACAAATCTATTTGGAATTGATCATGAAGCATTAAATAAGCAAATAATAGAATACAAAAAAATGAAAAAGAACGAGGCACTGGAAAGGACTTCAGCGTTAGAGTTGCAGTTGGCTGAGATACGCCAACACCAAAAGAAAAAGAGATGGAAGAAAGCTAGGAAGACTTACGATGATGACCTTAATCCTGAGGAATATTTGATGGATAGATATAGTCAAGATCATTGGGACAATGAAGTTTCATCTTCAGAGAATGAGGAACTAGAGTATAAACCAAAGGAAGATGGCAGTGAATTGGAAAAGGAAAAATAGAAACATCAACTTTAAGTGAATTTGTAAAACTATGGGTCAGTTTGAACTATCCCATTACAAAATGTTCAGTCAATGGATTGTTGAATGGAGAATATGTTGTAGAGCTGTGAAGTTTTCCTTATCATTTCTCCTCTCATCTATGGATTCCTTTCTCCTCTTCCTTATTTGTATAACCATAGTTGGCTCTTACATCCCAACCTGGCACCCTATGGTTAGTTTTATTAAAATTTACTTCTTAGGCTGCTATAACCCATCTGGAATCTTTTGCAGTCAGTGAGCTATAAAAAAGTGTAAATCAATAAATAAACTTGTTTCAAGGTATGGTCTGAATTCCTAGTTAGCCCCAGCCATTGGTTGTTATGACATTCCCAAGCAAGCTATGGCTATGCAGAGGACGAAAGAAAAGGAGCAAGAACTCCATGAGTGATAGAAAATTATGCTGTATTTCTAGATCATACATGGAGTATAAGAAATGCAACATCCGACCTGATAGAGTAAGTTTACGGATGGATGACTGTTAATTAAGTGTTAAACTGTAGGCTTCTTTTTACCATTTTCTTTTCTCCTTCTGTTTTAAAAATAAAGTAGTTCTATTTAGAATGGGGAAAACAATGACATAAACAATGATTTCAGTATGACATAAGGTTTCTATTTAGAGAAAGATACACTAAGCCTGTCTTTTGAAATGTAGAGCTATTTAAACCTAAACATACACATTTGGATATTTTCATGCAGGAAAGCACAACATATCAGTGTACAGAAGAGCCTCAGTGTCAGTTCAGTAACATCTGCCACTGTTGCAGATTCATAGAAAATACCAGGGGATCCAGAGCATTGCATGAACATCTGCCAGAGATATGCTGAGGAGGAGGGGAACGAATTGAAGACCATAAGCTTGGATATTAAGAACAGGGAGAAAACCTGTTCCCACGGCAATACTATAGAATTATCCACATAGTGAAGTAGATTTGCATAAGAAATAGATTTGGATGGAGATAGCCAAGTACGATGAGTTACCAAATTAATGTAAATTAAATTCCATAATTTATTTTTCTCTGCTTTCCCTCCACGAGAAGGATGGAATGGTTCTAAAGGGACTTAACCAGATCAGAATTGTGTTCATGCATTTGGGTGCTTCGCAATCCAATTCTTTTGGACTGCAAATAAAAGTGTAATTTATACCATGCCTGAAGCAGTGGCAATTACTGTAGCATGTCAGCTCTGTTAATGTGTAAAGATCAGGTAGACAAGGCAGATTATAAGCTGTAATTTCATTGTCAGTGTTATTGCCTCTTGAAGGCCTTACTTTCCTATAAGTTTTTAATACATTAGAATGAGCGTTGTGCTTAAGAGCTAACGATTGGGTTCTTGCCTAGGGCCTTCTGACTAAGTATTCTACAGCAGCAGGAAATGTCTAGCCCAAGTATCCCAATCTATCAGTATATGGCTGCAAAAATACAAAAGAAAATACAATAATGTTGGGTATTAGTTGAGCATCCAATGGATTTTTTGTTTTGGTGGCAGCACGTGGCAGACCTTGTGTGGGCTGTGTGTGTGTGGCAGATTTTGGGCTAAGCAGGGTCAGATGTTAAGAGTTGCATAGGAGTTCAACAAGGAATGCTTGGATTTTAGGCTAGACTATTTGGCATAGTGGTTAAAGACACCAGGCTAGAAACTGGGAAACCGTGAGTTCTAGTCCCACCTTAGCTGGATGACCTTGGACCAGTCACTCTCAGCCCTAGGAAGAAGGCAAGAGCAAGCCACTTCTGAAAATGTTGCCAAAAAAACCACAAGGACTTGTCCATACAGTCATCAGGAATCCAGACTGACTTGAAGGCACGCACAAACAAAAACGTTTTTGAAAAACGACAGTGGCCAACAACCTCCATAATATTGCCTGGAAAGCTGTAGGGCTCCATTCATGCAGACACTAGGAGTCAAACTCAATTTGAAGATATCTTTGGCTTTTTACCCATACAGTGTTGGGCATTAGTGGTTTCTCATGGACAAAATGAGTAAGATAACAAATTATCCATCCTTCACTGTGGTACTGCAAGATTGCTTTGCCCAGTGAGATTCCAAGAAGGAAAGTTCTAGCCAATGAAGTTAACCATTCTCCCAGATATAGGTCAGATGTCATATAAGAAGTAGCAGATATGAAAACTCAGCAATGTTGGTGGTTCTGCAGCTCTGCTAATTCTGCAAGACTTGGGGATAGACTTTGCGACCAAAAGCAATGACATTAGAAGTGGACCTGGGTGACATTACTGTAAAGTGCCAAATCACACACTTGAGCTGTTTTACTCCCTTACTCTGACATAACACCAGTTGCGGTCAAATGAACTTGAGGAGCCACAAAGCTCCTGGAGCAGAGGATATTGCACCAAGCAAACCTGATCTCCTAGCAAGAGGAATTTAGCGTCCAGCTAACAAACCGGCTTATATACACCAACCACAGAACTGCCCAGTGGCAGAAAATAAAGGTAACTGCCTACTTCCTGTGTCCTGATTGTAAAGATAGTCAGACATACCCCTAGTTGTAGTCTTTGTTTTAGTGCCAGTGGTCTTCAGCAAGCTGCCAGGTGTGTGAACAGAAATTCTGCCTGTGTAGAGGCTGTTATGAGAGGACAATGGCCCTGAAAGTCAGAATGCATGAGTTAAATGTGGTCTTGAAAATTATCTAGTCTAGCCCTGCCCACTACTATATGGAGATCCAACCAATTTCTTGGCCTTCTTGCATTTTTTAAAAGTACATATGTTACTCTAGATTATCTAAAGGGGAAAGGCAGGTGATAACTTCAACAATACATTGGAAATTGTGTAGCATTTGCCCAGGGAAAATGTACCCCATACTGAAAAATGTAGAAGATGCATTTCTGAAAAACTGCGGCCACCGAATTCTTGAAATGAAAAATGATAACATGGAAAGAGCCTGTAACCTACTGAGCCTCATTGGCTGCAGATGAAAAAATTTGTCAGCACTTAAATTATTAGCTAGAGAAAATGAGAGGTGTAATTCTAATAAAGATACCCTCATTAGGTATCGTTTCTGTAGCTTGCAGGAATTATATTAGAAGCAGTGATCAAGCATCAAGCGTTATTATTCCAAATCTGTTGTCTGATGTGTTAGCATTTAACATAGGTGTGCCCGCTCAGGAATTGCACCCAAAAATACATTCTTATATCCCAATTTTATCTCCTCCAAAAATGACATTCATTGTTACGTAAAGTTTTTTATCTGCAAAGCAAGCGATCCTATCTATTTCACATGCCCGACTGAATTCAATGGATCTTACAGATTGTAAAACTGATGCTTAATTTATTACGGCAGCGAGCGTCCCGACTGAAACCGAAATAGACGCAGAAATCAACAGGAACGTCCCGCCCCCGAAGTCCTTTTTAAGAGCCGGCGGTCAGGCCGCCATTGGACGAGGGAAGTGTGACGTATTCGATTTCTACCGCTTGCCCGGGACGCCACCTGTTGGTTGTCGAGCGTGAACGCTCCTGACTAAGGCATTGGATGGGCGGATGGGCTGATAAACCGCGGGAGCCTGGAAGAAAAGTTGTTTGCACAACTTGTGGCGCTCGATTTTCAGAGAGCTGCTCTTCGTGTGAGTTGCATCTCCTAACGTGACTTTGTGAGGTTTTGTATCTTCCTCATCCCAGCCGTAGGCAATGGGGGCGGGGGCGGCGACAGCGGCAGCAGGCATTCCGCTCTCACGTGCTTTTCATGCCCTACTGCCTGCTCGAATTTCTGAAAGCTCCCTCGCGCATCCTCGCCGATGCGGTGCACTCCGTGGCTGAATCCTCCTCCCCAGATCCAACGGAGGCGTCCTACAGGGTGCAAGCGATGAGGTGAGGATAGAAGTGGACTGGAGCTGGAGGCTTTAGGCGCAGGATCTACGATGGGTCAGCGACCGAGCCGGTTTGGCGGTGGCTGGCGCGCGAACGGCAGCGACGGGGTGTCTGTGGGGTGAGGGGGATCTGCGTAGCTTGGAAGAATCTCTGTGGTTCTTTACACAAAATCTGTGTGGCTTTACACAAAACAGCAACCTTTCGGACAATTGCTTGCCGAGACGTTGGAAGCTTTAAAGCAGCGTTTCTCAGACTTGACCACTTTAGGATGTGCGGGCTTCAGCTCCCAGAATTCCCCAGC